GAGGCTCCATATTCAGTCGAGGAGTCTCGAGACTCGCACCTCGCAAGGCGCTTGCTTCTTTACGCTTGATGAAATCACAAGAGCCATGTCGAGAAGACGTCTCAACGTCTCTGCCCTCGATATGGGTTGATCACGTCTCATCCACGATCAGAAAGCCATGTCAAGAGATAAGACAATTGAATCCACATATGTTGAGCACGTTGCGCTGTCGCGATGAGGATCACCACAAGTCGAGACAGATCAGCACGTCACGATACATGATTTGACTAGATATGCATCAATAGCATACAGCTCTACATACAACGTGGATTATGCGGCTAATCGTATAGCTCTCTCTTGTCCACTACCTTTGACAAGACCAGCCACGCAAGCTGTGCAGAACGCACAGATGAGCTTGGCTGCATCGAACGGCAAAGCCGAACACAACTTATCCTGAACGGTGACATCGGCTCATTGAAGCCGATCCATCCGGGATATTACGCCATCTTGCAGACAGCCACGCAGTGCGTCGTTAAGACGTAACCACCGCCGTTTCGCTAACTCGCGGTCAACGAAATCCTGTCGAGAACGAGGTTAGGCTTAACTAGTCGTAATCGTTACACATCGCTTTCTCAGAGATGGTGGAACTGTATGACGTCTTGCCCGACGATACCCCGCATGAGCGAACGGAAAACGGAGGCGTCCACCTGTTTTTCTCCCTGTCGGCCTCGATGCAAGCGGGTCTAATCAGCGGCGGCGGCCGGCAAGGTCTCACGTGGCGAAATGAGAAGGTCGGGATCGACACTCGGGGAGACGGAGGGCTCATATTCTGTGATCCGAGTAGCTACAGAGCCCTAGACGGCGAGGAGCGGCGGTATGAGTGGATCCAAGAGATCCTGGAGGACCGATCCAACCTGAGGGCGATGCCGGACTGGTTGATCGCGGTCATCAACGGCGAGGGGGCAGCCGCCAGGTGAGGCTTGTTCTAGGATGCCATCTGCTTCTCCAAGTTTTTTCCGGTAGCTGCAACCGTTGCACCACTTCTGGAGTGGTTGAGAACATCTTGTGCCATTTCCTGAACATCTGAACATGGAGACGCATGAGGTATGCAGCCGTTCATGAAAGTTCAAGCTGCCGCCGACCGTTCAATGCTGTTGTGTATTTCAGGGACTCCGTCAAGCACGAGCCTTTCTGGGCTCCCACGTCCGAACCGGACCCGACCGAGAGGGGCGGCGACGCCGAACCGGCGGTTCTGGAGAGGATTCGGGTGTGTCTCGCGAAAGCGGGAGATACCACCTCCACCTTCGACAAGCTCAAGAAGTACCCAGCCGGCGACATGTATGTATACAGAGCTCACGGACAGCGCAAATGCCCTTACGGGCAGCAGCACAGCTCGAACAACTTCTCCGTCCTCGTCCGCGGCCGAGCGTTGCTCTACTCCTGCAACAGCAGCGAGTGCTGCGAAGTCCGCCCGTTGAAGCAGATCGGGATGCTCACTCGATACGAGGCCATGCTCGGCGGAGAGGTCGCCCCCGTTTCCGCCGACGACGAGAGCATGTATCGGACGCTGGACAAGCGCTTCGTGGACCACTGGGCGTTCCAGGGGGACATGGGCGGGAGCCATATCGCCAGCCAGATGTACTCATCCTGCGGCAGGTACTTGCGCGGGTCCGACATATTTATGTAGTTCAAGCTTCTGCGCACACTATCTGAGACGCTGGTGGGTGTCGAATGTGGGCTGCAAACTGATACCAACATGCAAGCGGCTGTAGAAAAAGTATCGAAGCGTTTTTATTACGTTCAGTCTTTTGGCCAAACTTTCTGGTACATCGGCGGAGGCATATACAATCTCTCTTTTCTACTACGCAGAGTGTTCTTTTACAACAAGTGGCACTTTTGGAATGGGAAGCACTACGAAGAGGATCCCACCGGCGCGTACGTCCGGTTCGTCATGATGCACCAGCTCAGCAGCGTGTACGATCGAGTACGTGAGCGGTTGCGCAAGGAGTTGAAAAACGAGAAGGACAAGAAGAAGGCTCAGAGACTGGAAGAGATCATCAAAGGCATCAAGAATTATAACAACTCGTCCGCGATCAAGAGCACGATGGAGGTCATGCAGGGCGAGATGTACGCACCCGACCTGTTTGCTCTGCTGGATAAGGACGTCCACATCATCAACTGCCGCAACGGAATCTGGCAGCTAAAGACGGGCGACCTGGACACCCACCGGCCGCAGTACATGTGCACTCGTATGATCGATCTGCGCTACCTGGTGAGCATCTCGCAACTCGTTCCGATCTCGCCTCTTGCCCCCTCCGTCGTTTGCAAATGGTCGCGATTATTGGAAAACGGAGACGAAAAGGTGTAGCACTGTCTGAGCATTTCCACCGATTGCAGGGGCTGGACCACGCCTCGCCTGTTCCCCTGGAGTTCCTGCGGGACATCTTTAACGCCAAAGAGGGGCTCATCCGGCGTTTTGTACGCGCCTTTGCGTATGCAGCAAACGGCATGACTCGGGAGGAGAAGCTCTTCTTTCTCATCGGGCTCGGAGGTGAGCCATTTGTAGGATGTTCAAGATGTTCACACTTTTGTGTAAACTATTTTCAAGAGCCGAGGAGAAGGACCGTTGTGGCGTCCTGTCAGTGGCCCTTTAGTTCCAATAGAAATATGGATGTTTAATGTCCTTCTTTTTTACAAAATCAGATTTAATTCAATAGAAAAAGAAGGTAGTCAAAGATTCGTAATGCGTTGCAGGGAATGGTAAGGGAGTGTGGAAGGAGGCGATCAAGGCGGCATTTGGCCCATACTACGGCACCATGTCCACGGACGCGGTCGTCAAAACCCCTGGACAGCGGCCTGCCTCGAAGGGCTCGCCGACCCACTACCTCTTCGCCTTGAAGGGCAAGCGGATGGTCATATCGGACGAGACGGACAAATCGCAGTGTGTGGATGCGGCCCTGGTTCTATCCACGTGCGGCGGGGGCGACATCGTGGCCCGCGAACTCTACACAAAGAACGTGGAGTTCACGCTAACCCACACGCCCTTCATCCAGACCAACAACCCCCCCCTGCTGCCCCCGGGGACCAATCCGAAGGCCGACAACTTCCGCCGGCGTATCGAAGTTTTCCGATTTCCAAACACCTACGTGACGGCTGACAAATTCGACCCTTCCAATCCGGACCACCGGCTTGCAAACACCGGCCTGAAGGAGCGCATGCTAGCTCCCGACGTCCTGGAGCAGTTGCTCTCCCTCCTCGCGCGCGAGTCTGTCGAATACTACAGAGAGGGACTCGGCGAGACTCCGCCAGAAGTCGTCGAGGCGACGCGGGCCTATTTCGAAGACTGCGACATGCTGCAGCGGTTTCTGGATGAGCACTGCCTGCGGGGAACCGGCCTGGAGACTCTCGAGCATGACTTCGTCGACGACTACAACAAATTCTCGCATGAGGAAATCAAACCCGAGGCGTTGAAGAAGCGCATGGAGGGGAAGGGGTTCAAGCGAAGCGGGAAGGCCGTCAACGTTTTCGGAAAGAGGGAGCTGTATTATCCGGGGGTCAAGAGCGTCTATGCACGTAGTTAGACCGTTAGTTGATCTTTAGGCAGTGGTACGAGGATGCAGATTTGTATATAAATGTACAGATGATTGGCCGTAAATATCCCATCTACGTTTTTGCAAGTCATCCACTATTAACATGAATTTGCAACGTGCCATGGCATCTGAAAAATGTTTGTTCAAATGTCTGAACATCCTGAACATGCCTTCATGCAAAACCGCCCCACTTGTTTGCCAGTTTTGTACGGATTTGTGAACGGGCTTGACCACGTGCAAGGCCGGCCCTCTTCTTGGCTCCAAGATTAGTTTGTCCAAAAGCTTGAACATCATGAACATGCATGCTACGGTGCAAGACCGGCCCCTCTCCTTGGCTCCTAAATTAATTTTTCCAAAAGCTTGAACTTCCTGAACACGCATGTTGCTGTGCAAGAGCGGCCCTTAACTTATCACCACGTGGAAATACTTTGCGCACAAACCTGAACATCCTGAACACGATTTCCATTGTCCAAGACCGGAGCCCCACTCTTGACTTTTGCCACGTGGAAATAGTTTGCGCACAAGCCTAAACGAGCATGCCTCCGTGCAAAAGTCGCCTCTTAATATTCTTCGCCACTTGGAAATAGTCTTGGCAGAAGCCCAAATGCCCTGAACACGCCTTCCGTTGTATAAACCGGCCTCCCTTTTGTTTAGCCTCTCGAAATAGTTTGCGCAGATGTCTAAACACCTCCACCTCTACACCGGCTCCGGCCTTTGCGAATAGTCTGCGAGATGTTTGAACGCTGGGGAAATTCACAACCGTCACCGTGTTATGCTCATGTGCCAACTCTTTGAAGCGTGCTGGTACTCTAGCTGCAACCGCTCCAGGAGCTATGTGAGTGCTCCAGGTAGCGTCTTGCTATGATATCACAAGCCTCCTTGAGGAATCAACGTCTCGCCTGTACTTATTTACCTTAACACCCGCCTCAACTTTTCCCACTCTTCATCCTTTGCATAGCGGCAGCAGTACCCAAATATGACGTCCAACTAGTGCAGGAGCTTGGCCTCCCTCTGTCAGCTTTTTTAAGATTATGCTCGAGTCACCAGAGAAGTGCTTGAAGAGATAGTCACAAAATGTACGTACCCCTGCAAGTATAGATGGCTTTGCATTGAAAGCTATTGTGTCATCAGCAATGAGTTTTTGACATGCTCATTGAGACTCAAGAGAATGGAATTGAAGGCGAACAGTAACGAAAACGACGTAGCAAAATGAGGTTGTACCAATTTACTCTGAAAAGGGTTGTAATCATCCGATCTCCGTCCTTTCCCACTAGCCCAATATGCTGTCCACAATCTCTGAAATCTCGAATAAGTGTTTAACTATATGTATGAGACCATTGTAAATAGCACATACTGTTGCATCTTCCATTGCAGGATGGATAATGCTGGATTGCCATGTGTCCCTCTCTTATAAGCTTTCAAAGCCCAACTCCGGTTTGCTCTGCGAACCAATCGTACTCAATGTTTTCTTGATGTGCAAGATCCTCCAAGCAGCCAAAGCCAAGCTAGCGCTAACCAAGAACACAGTTGCAATTAGTATAGCAATGAATCTTGTACGGGTATATGAGACCAAGGAACAGATAACAGACAATGTTCCCACAAACTGATTGTATACCCGAGATTCGGCAGACGTCTCAGCTCCAATGTCGCAGGAGACATCCACGACCCTGCTGGCCTTGTACTCACGATAGGCCAAGCCTACAAGGGGCCAAACTTCGATACCCACTTCGCCTAGCTCTGCTACTCCAACAAATGTCCATATTAGGAACATCCTCCGGATACCCTGAATATTCCACTTATGACTTAAATCGTTTGCAAACTTATGAATGGACGTCTGCACCCAGTCTCCAGCAAAGAGGGCGGTGAGAACAGTCACTATAGCCAAAGAGATCTCAGTGGAGGAAGCAGTGGGGTAAGTCAATTGAACCCTTTGTTGTACCCTTGCACTTTGTTGTTCAACCCATCCCCTAAGACGCCTCTCGTGGATCACGTGGAATAAGTCATTGAATTCGCTTGCAGCAAAAACCTGTAATCCCGATAAAGTCCCCGGAGTACCATTTACATAAAGGTTTAGGAGTTCACCAATTGGGTTTTCACACAGCTGCGATCCTGGGGTTTTGAACCCTAGGGATATAGGAGTACTCCAAGCTTCCGGATTGTCACCATATCCAAACACCTGGCATTCCCCAACGCGACTATTGAGCGTGAGGAGATTCTTCCAAAAGTTTTCTCCAAAGAATGTCATAAGTCCATTGACAGTAGACTCTGCCGTCTCAATCAAATTTTGCCGCTGCGCAACAGCTGAAGCAACATTTACCCCAACTGGTGCGGCGGTCAAACAGTCTGATACATTGCTTGGAGGTAGATTCTCAAGGTCAAAGGCCTCGTTAAAAGCAATCTTCTTGGTGCCATTAATAACAACCTCACTATAAGGAAAGTGCGTATAACTCCCAATGGCTATCCCCGGTGAGCAGAGAAAAGACTGTCCACGAGTGTTAATCAGAATGTGCTG